CTGATGTAGTGAAGTATTATAAAGTTCCCCTTAGCACAGTGCCTGGCACATAATAGATGCATAATATATATTAGTTGACTGACTCTTGTATTAATGTCCAAGAGATATTAAAAAACCCTCAATGAAGACTTCTGGAACAATGAATAGACCTTCTGTTGAGGATTTGTGGGAGGATGTGGGCAAGGATTGCCCGGAATTAAAAGACATAGATGGGTTGTGATCTCTACCAAGGGTGGGATAATCTACCCTGGTGATATCATAGATCACTCAAAGTATCAAAGATATGGGAAAATGCCCAGATGTATTTCTGGGGTTATTTGAATATAATGCAATATATTAAAATGTATCATGAATGAGATGCCCTTCCTCTTGAGGTTCTGCCCTATATTTGTCACTGGCATTTGTATAATTCTTTCAGGTTTTCAAAACATTTAATATTAATAATCTGATTTGAACATCACAGTAATCCTTCGAGATAAGTGTCGTGAGTCCTGTGATTCTCCTTATCTTACAGATAAGGAGTCTGAGGCACACAGATGGTGATAGAGCTAAGTAAGGAGAGATTTGAATCCAGGTTTTCCTGAATCTCAACCTGGGACTACACTGTGCTGCCTTCTAATTTCCATGGTTTACAACAGCAGGAATTTGGGCTGTATGGTATACTGTGAGGATATTATAATACATTCAATCTTTCATCAGACGTGTTAATTTGTCTGTTGTGTGCTAGGTGCTGTGGGTACAAAGACAAAATGAAATATTACCTTTCTTTGTGGAACTTTAAATTTACAATGGGGACAATGGAATGATGAAATCAAACCTATATCTTATAAGATTATTTTGGAAGCTTTACTAAGTATGGATTGAAGAGGGAAATTTGTAGTTCAGGAGAGGCATCAGGAATGGATATGTAGATTTGAGAGTCCCATGCATAGAGATGATCATTGAAATATGGGAGCTTATGAGATCACAAAGGAAAAGAGTATAAAGAGAGAATAGAAGAGGGTACGAGATGGAACCTTGGGTGCTACTCATTTCTTGTTGGTTAGGAGATGGATGATGATTGAGAAGGAATATTAACATGGGTAGGAAAAGAAGCAGGAAAAACCAGTGCTGCAGGAGCCAAGGGAGGAGAAAATATCTAGGAAAATGGTTAGACAACAGCGCTAAAAACTTCAGAATGGTCAAGGAAGATGGTTTAGAAAAGGCTGGTGGTCTTAGCCATTGATATTGTTGGTATTTTTTGTGAAAGCAGTTTTATTTGAGTAGTGGGGTCAAAGAGAGATTGTGTAAGGATTTAAGAAGTGAGCCATGGTAAATTAGAGGCAGCAAGTCTAGATGCTCAGTAGTAAAAATGGCGGGGGGAGATAGTGATATAGAACTTGAAAGAATGACATCTTAAGTGAAGGTTTTTGTCAAGATTAGAGGAGAACTGAGAATACTTGTAAATTGTAGGGAAAGAATAGCTAGGTAAGAAAGGTTGGAGGTGAGAAACAGGAAGTGTTTGATGGAATGAGATCCTGGAGAGGTCTGGAAATGGCTAGTGTCAATGACACAAGTGAAGAGATGAGCCTCAGAAAAGGAAGAGCTGCTTCATTCTCTGTGACTGAAATTCAGTCTTAACTTAATTTCAGTTAAATTCAATAAGCATATATTACCTACTGTGTATCAAGTAAAGCATTCTGCTAGGGGCTAGTGATACTAATATGAAAATAAAAATAATCAGTCCCTCAACAGTTTGGGGAGGGGGCAACATGTACACAGATAAGGAAATAGAGCTTATATTCAAAGGAAATATAAGGTAATTTTAGTGATAGGGAGAGTGCTCATAACTGGAGGCATCAAGGAAGGCACTTGCAAGGTAGTATATTTGAGCTGAGGCTTGATGGAACTAGGGATTCTAAAAGGTGGATATGAGCAGGAAGCATGTTCCAGGCACAAGGGACAGCCTATGCAGAGGCATGGAGATGGGAGATGAAATGTGGTGTAAGGGGAACAATGACAGTGAGGGCCAGGGCTATAGACGAGATCAAAATGGTGGTGCCACCTCCCCTTTTCTCAGTGGCTTTCCATCTTCCCAGCCTGGATTATGTGGTGACACAAAGTGGTGATGATGGTAATGTCATCCATCCCATTGTAAGGAGTGCCTGGGGGTGAGGAGGCTTCCAGACCAATGCCTGTGGGGACTGTGGTTAGGGCTGTGGCTAGTGCAAAGACCAGGATAGTAGCATTGGTGACAGTGGCATCTCCTCACTCTCAGTGGCAGCAGCCTTCACTTGATTGAGTTACATGGTGATAAAGGCCTGATTCTGTAGCCAATCATGGCAAGCCACAAGCGTATGGAGACAGAAGTCACCTCCACAGATAACAGAGATGATCAGGAGGGTCGTGTGGAGAGGAAGTCTCTAATAATATCAGTCCCTATGAGGGAATGAGATCAGGACCAAGAAGGACAATGTTTTCAGTTCCTTATAATAATTCCCGAGTCCCTCCAGTGCCTCTTTCCATGAATGTTTTTTTAAATAGTAAATTTTATTGGTATCTTTTGTTTTTACATCACCTTCCTTCCCCAATGTATCTTTTCCCTTCTCCCTCCCCTTTTACCTCCCAGAGCACTCCTTATAACAAAGAATTTTTTAAATGGGGGGGGGTGGAGGAATAAGACATTCGATAAAACTAACCAACATATTGAAAAAGATAAATTAATTTAATTAAATGCGGTGTTCCATGTCCGTAGTCTCTCACCTTTGTAATGAAGCTACCTTCTCATATCCTTGGGATCAATCTCCCATAGGTAGATCTATGTGGAGGAACTTTAAGAGATATAATCTGGCTTACTATATCCAAAGGATATATTGAGTTATGGTGAGATGTTTAGGAATTAAGAATGAATCTTCATTCAAGAGCATTGCCTCTGGAGGTAGATGACCTAGGTTCAAAACCCATCCCAAAGGGGTAATTGGTAATACCTGTGTGACTTTAGGCATGATTAAATCTCCACATGCCTGAATTTTCTCCTCTGTAATATGAGGGGGTGGAAGCAGATGACTTTCGGGATACCCTCTGGCACTGCATTTATGATCCTTTGACCCATCTGCCTTTGCTCACACCATCTCTCATGCGTGAAATAGATCCTCATCTTCTGTTCAAGGTTCTTTGTTCCTTTAAGAACCAATTCAGGTTCCACCTCTTCCGTGAAGCATTCCCTGACTGCCTTCCTCCCCCATCTCTTCTTGTTCAAGTTTCTTTTTGTTCTTCATATGTTCCTCTCTTTTCTGATTTGGTAGGACTTGCACATTTCTGCTGGAATAATCTTTTAGAATCTAGGAATTCATGAGTGGACTGAGATGAGGATGTTAGGAGAGGTTCCAAATCCAAATTCTACCCAAATAGCCCAGATTTTTTCAAGTGATTTTCATAATTTTCATGGGAAGGAAGGCTTGTTAAAATTTCATTTTGTGGGGAAAAGCCATTTTTTACTTTGTTATTTTAAAAATGGCATTGATGGTGCTAACAATGGTTATCAAACTTTTTTTCTGACTGCACAGGATTTTTTTTTTTTGCCATGAGGAACTGAGGCACACTGAACTTTTAAGTTGTCAACAAAAGAAGGGTTTTGGACAGTCCATCTTTGAGACCAATTACTGGCCCCTTTGTATTGCTTCTCCTTTCTTCCTCTGCCTCTCTTCATCTTCCACTTCCTTACCTATTCTTTTTTTACTTCTCACGACTCTCAATGAAGGACTTTGTGCTTTCATGGATAGAGCTACTATTTGACCTTCCTAACACCAAATAAGGAAGAGCCAGCAGCAAACCACAGCTGGAGGTGGAGTGGGTTGGTTCCTGGACTGGGAGTAATCTGGAAGTCCCTGAGTATGGGGAGGCATGTTGGCACATCTAGTGAAGCTCAAGCTAGGGTACATCCTTTACGAAATACTGCTTTAACCGATCGCTAAATGAATGTCGAAAATCTACCATCATTCATAATGTTGTGACATCAGACGTGGTCATTGTTTATTCAGTCAGCAAGAATTTGTAAGTGCTTGCTTACTCTGTGCCAGACATTGTACAAAAGTTTTGGAGAGACAGACCTCCCTGAAAAAAAGAACGAAAGAAAGAAAAAAGAAAAGAAAAAGAAAGTGGCTGCCCTCAAGGAGTTTACCCTCTATTTGGGGAAATAACGCATACATAAGTAAATACAAAACATGCCAAGTAAATATAAAATGATTTAGTGGTGAAGGCATTAGCAGCAGAGAATCATGTAGGGGGTCATACATTTGAGCTGAGTTTTAAAGGAAGCTAATGGATTCTAAGAAGTAGGAGGAAGGAGGGAGGACATTCCGGGTTTAGGGGACAAGTATTTTTTGCATAACTGTTTTTTTTGTTTATAATGGAGGGGTCAGTGTCAGAGGAGGGTATATCTGAAAATTACTGTGTTATAAAAAAACAAAAAGCATGACTAAAACTTAGTCTAAAAAACAGTTTATGATGCTTTACTCCAAAGGAGAGCATTTGGTATAGTTCTTGGACAAACACTTGCTTGGGGAGGTAACTTCTCAAAGGCCCCCTTTAGTACTATTTCCATCTCCATTAGAGGTTTCCCTTCTCTGACCTAATTTTGATTTGACCTTAAGTCTTTGTTGCCTGCAGGATTTTGTTGTTATTATTTTGTTAAGAGAGGGGTTCCAATGTAAGATTTAGTTGTTGTAGGGAACTCCTTCCTCCAATACAAATTGGCAACTTCTCTGATTTGCAAACTCAGATTGTTGCCCCACGGCATTGGAAGTTTAGGTTACTTGTCCATGGTCACAGTCAGTGTCAGAAGCAGGACTTGAGCCTGGGTCTTCTTAAAGGCAAGACCAGCCCTCTACGCACAATTCATGCAATGTGGCCTCAGATCAATACCACAATTTTCAGCCCGATTGGATTTCTTTACATCAGAAGAACTGTGCCTGAGCGTTTTAGTTAGATGAGCCATTGTTATTGCCTGTCTTTCAGGTACAGGAGAGAGCGGCAAAAGCACATTCATCAAGCAGATGAGAATCATCCATGGATCAGGTTATTCCGATGAAGACAAAAGAGGATTCACAAAACTGGTGTATCAGAACATATTTACAGCGATGCAGGCTATGATCAGAGCCATGGACACACTCAAAATCCCATACAAGTATGAACACAATAAGGTAAGCTTTGCTAATTTTTTTTACACTTCCTATGATAAAAACACTACTGCATTGCCAATGGTCCTTTAAAAGCTTCCGAAATATAGAGAGTTTTTTTGGCCCTCCCCAAAAAGATGTCCAGTGAACAGTCAGTTACTTGTAGGAGATGTACTTTAATAGCATGGTTATTTATTAATATTCCAGTGTCATCAGGAAAGCCAGATGCTAACGTATTATTGTAAATGTGGTAGGCTTGTTTCTTTTAAAGGTGTTTTTTGCTGTGGCATATTAAATGGACATGAAGTTGGTTGGCTTCCAGCTTGTATAAACCTGAACTCCAAAGTAAGATTTAACCAATTTGAAATTGTGACACAAAATGACTGAAGCCAGGAAACTTCAAAGAGAAGCTGACTGTGCTGTCTTAGCTCACACACTATATGCTTCATTTACAAAGAAAGGAAAGCATCTTAGGGCCATTGTGTCTGGTTTAATTTTAAACTTCCTGATTGGCCTTTCTGAGGTTTGCAGCCTCAATTTTCTTTCAAACAGTCCAGTTTGTCATTTGTTTTTGCCCAGATTTATGTGTCGTCCTTCAAACGTGACACCCTCAGGTAGATAACACTTGTGAAAGTCAGTAGCACCTTCTAAACTAATACTAGGAATGGTTAGGCAAGAAATACACATTTTTGAGTTTTTTATTTTTAAACAATAACAAATAAACATTGCAGGTATCTAGTAGTATGTTTATTAAGGAACAGAACTCTGTTTAGAAAGAAGTAGAGAAAGGACCATGATTAGATCAGACTGTGAGGAATTTTAGGACGAAAACTTAAAGATGTGGTGATATCTAATGGCAGTTGAATGGAGGATGATGCATGTGAATCCGTACAAAGTGGCAGTCACAGAGGGCACGGAAGGTATCATAATTCAGATTTTCCTTTGGCACTTTGCCCTCTTTCTGACCCCCTTTCCCGTCTACCTTGCATCATACTTATCTATGTACCTGTCATGCTACTCCCAGGAGAATGTTAAGTTCCTTGAGGTCAAGAACTGCTTTTTCTTTCTTTTTTCTTCTTTTCTTTCTTTCTTTCTTTTTTCTTGTCTTCATTTTTCTACTGCCTAGAGGCAATATGGGTTAGGAAGATCTGGGTTCAATCCTTTCTCTTAAATGTACTGGCCACATGATCCTGGGCAAATCACTTAACCACGCAGGTTAAGGACTCGAGGAAACTCTCTGAGACTAAAACTTTAATAGCAACTTGTCGAACTAATTTCTTGGCTGGAATTTTCCTTACTAGAAGTTCCCTACATCAAAGATACCAGCAGTTCAGACCTCCCCCCCAAAATCTCCAGCACCTAACAGCTAGATGGCACAGTGTATAGAACACCAGCCCTGGAGTCTGGAGAACCTGAGTTCAAATATGGCCTCAGACACTTACTAGCAGTATGACCCTGGGCAATTCACTCAACCCTATTTGCCTCAGTTCTTCATCTATAAAATGAAGAAGGAAATGGCAAACTACTCTAGTATCTCTGCCAAGAAAACCTCAAATAGGATCACTGAGAGACATGACTGAAGCTACTCAACAATAACGAACACCTAGCATAGTGCCTTGAAAAATAGTAGGGGCTTAATACAAGCTCATACAGACATTTGAATTTCACTATGGGGTTTGTTGCTCTTGCAAATGCCTTATCTTGATCATCTTCATTTCAGGTTTGGGAATAAGGGAGGTAGTTTGTGTGTACATATGTCTAGATTTGAAAATGAAATCAAGGCAGCACAATTCAGCATCTACCTAGGGCAGCAAAATAGATAAGATCCGCCCAGGGTGATAGAGGCATCTATGCCTTTGAGGCATCTGTCTTCTCTCTAAATTAAGAAAATAGAATGGTTTCTGCTAGTGAAAGTTCAGGTACTCTATGGTATAGAGTAATTCTATATTGACATCAGAGACCATCTTTGAATTGATTCCTTGGTAGTTTTATGCTTGGCAGGAGCTGACCACCTACAATAAGCCACAGAGAATGAATCACCTCTGATTAATAGGATATATTCTGTAACTTGAGAGGTGTTTGAGCATCTTTAATCACAGCATTAAATTCTGGAAAGAAATAAGAATGCATGGTAATCTAAAGTTAAGGATTAAACTTCCTTTGATTTCTATTCAATTATATGACCTCTGTGGTTCTGTGATTCTATGAACTCTATTCAGTCAGGGAAAATGAAAGATATATGAAGGTGTAATCCCCTGGTATGCAGTAGCATTTGTGATTCAATCCTGAAAGCAGAATTATAGGCAAAATAATGAAATTCCATCTACTTTGAGCTTAAATTACCACTCAAAAGGCATTTCACATTTAAACAATAGAAAATCAAGATTTTCCCCTTTTCTTTTTCTATTAACTGGTTATATTCTCATACACCAACATCCTCCCATGTAAGCTTAATGAAGTGTGACTACTCTTACCAAGCCTTATAGGAATACAGAGTTCATTCCAAGATAACCTTGCTCATTAAACAACAACAGCGACAACAACAAAACTCTCAGGGAAGAAAACAAGAGCTGAAGATTCCTCCAGTATTTTAAAAGTCATAATTTTGTGATGCTCATTACTATTTGTTTGTTTGACTGGGTATGCCAAAGAAGGTAGTCAAGGATGCTGAGTATTTGGGCCATTATAGCAGGCTAGAGTAGGCTACCAAGTTTTCTGGGCATCAGACATTTAAAACTTAAGAATGGATTTTCTAGTTGTCAAATCTAGATTCTCTGTGGAGTTTCTGCCTCGTCTTATACTGCTGCGATAGATTTTTATTTTTTGTTCAGTAACAGTTGAGACAATCTTGAAAGGTTTCTTCTTTGATTATTAATAAGCACTCCCATTTATTCAGGATGATTGGAGAACTGGTTGGTGTGATTAAGTTATATTCTGACTAATTGAGAGACGATTCAGGTAAGCCTATATAAACAAACAAAGTTGTTAGGAAGATATGAGTCCTTGGTGTCAGCTACTTTAGCTGTAATTTGCCTTGTTCTCATAAATCTAATGTTTTACAGATAATTCTAGGAATTTGAGGCATTTGGTCCCAGAGATAAAGATCAATGATATTTATCATATTTATTATTATTTTGGTATGGACCTATAATTTCACTGATGTGGGGAGATCTCTGGCTAATTCAGAGTGGCAACTGTTTTGCATCTTGGAGAGTTTCTTGGGAGCACTAAGAGTTTCTGTTTCCCAACTCTTATATAAAAATTCATCTGGCTGTAGCATTTGCCAAGAAAGGCATAATCATCTATTGTTAAAATTTTTAAACATCTAGGTACGGACCATGTTCCAAACTACTTTGTGACTTGACCACGTATATAATGATTTCCCATTCCTTAAGTTGTTTAACTCCTGCCTGTGGAAGTACCCTCGTCACTCAGGATATGATTACTGCTATTATGATGCCCTACAATGTCCATATGTATTTTGTGTTCCTTATTTAATCTACACATGTCTGCAGATCACAACCTCACACTGTCTTAATAAAAAGTTGTTGCCAAAAATTTAATCACTTGGTGGCCAATCTCCTGGTAATAAGCCTGTCTGGATTTAGCTAAGTTGCTAAGTTTAGTTAAAGTTCCTTGAATGACAAACTTGTGATCTATCCTTAGGCCCATGCTCAACCAAATCCTCTCTAGCTTGGTAGACCTACCAGAGCATGAATTTGGGGGGCATAGCTTCAGGAGTCCAGGGAAATCGTGCCATCATCAGGCATCAGAGTAGGAACTTAATGAAAGACTTTTTGTTTTTCAAAACTGAGAATAAGACTAATACAATCTTAATGAAGTTTATAAATAGCTGAATGCCAGGCCTGTAGGCTCAAATTTGTTGACCTGTTTAATTTAATTTAGGAAATTTTTATTGAGCTTACTGTGTCCCTAGCACTGTGCTAGATACTTTGGGAGATATAAAGAAGCTTGGCCTACCTTTAAGGAGTTTGTAATCTAGTTGAGAGACTAACCATACACATGCCAAAAAATTAATAATATCTGAGCTGAATAAAAATTCATTTAAAAAAACTTTTACTAAATACCAGTCTATATGCAATGGCATTATTCCAAGAGCTGAGGATATAGACAAAAATGAAACCTAAACTCTGATAAGTGTGATATTAAGAAAATTAAGGAAGGAGAGAAGATTTAACAAGTAGAGAAATCAGGGAAGGCTTCATAAAGGAGGGACTACCTGAGCTGAACCTTGAAGGGGAAAAAAAAGATTCTGAGAGAATGGGATGAAGAAGGGAAGTCATTGTATTTCAGGTACGGGGACAGATTGTGCAAATTCAGAAAGTTGGACACTCAAGTTTAAGGAATAGTTAATATTATAGTCTGGCTGGAAAATAGAGTTTGAAATAATCTTGAAAAGATTGGTGGCAGCTAGATGGCAGAAAGCCTTAAATGCCTGGTCTGACCGAATGAGGTCTATGTCATATCCTAAAGGCAATGGGCATCTTTAGGAAATATTTGCACTTGGAGGGTGACACGGTGTTTTGGAGAATGGAGAGAGTCGAGGAAGAGGACACCAATTAAGAAGCTCTTAGAGTAGTACAAAATGCTCTTAGTTGGTGAGAGTCTGAAGTGGGATTGAGTGTATGTGAGTGAAGAGACAGGAGTAGATACTGAAGATGGTTTGGCTGAGGAATTCACAAGACTTGGCAAGTGCTTGGATATAGGGGTGAGGGAAAAGGAAGAGGCAGGAATGATTATGTGGTGAAGAACCTAGGTGACTGGGAGGTTGTGGTCTTCCAATCAAAAAGGGAAGTTTGGAGGAGAGATTGATTTTGATGGGAAAGATTGATTTTGATGGGAAAGATAATTAGTTCACATGTAGACATGTTAAATTTGAAAAAACTTTGGGACATCCAAGAATATGTGTCCAGCAGGTTGTTTATGATGCATAACTGGAGTCCAGGAGAGAGATTAGGGATATCTATATACCTATATGTGTATATGGATATATGTGTATATAT